CCCACGATTGGGTGATGTACGGATACAAACAAGGGCAACCACCACCCGATGTTACATACTAAGTATATCCGTAGTTGAGAGAGATCTCACAATTACGGATTCGTCACGTCACGTCACACAATGATAGATAAGCGAAGAGGACACGAGAGCAGATCCCAACGCTCAGCGTCTCTATCCTTCTGATGTGAAAGGGCCAGATATGTTCAACAGGTATATAAGATAGGTAAATAAAAACAAAGGATAACGCATGCCTGCCTGCCCACCTGCCTATCCATCGCCCACCTAGGATTTTAATAAAGCCGTTCCGTCATCAAGCATAGGTAGATAACTTTAGATAAGAAGCATTGCTGCTTTGGAAAACGACGCACGAAATTTGGGGTGAGGAAAAACAGATTAACCCAGATTACGGTATATGGCAAAGATGCTGTTGAAAAAGCAAGAACAACGGCAGGCTCCCAGCTTCTTCCTTGAATCTTAGACCTCAATAGTGAAGTGGCTAATCTGGGAATAATACGCGTGCACAGCCAGTTCCAACATCCAGACATCGCTAAACACTTCGCTGCCGTCAAATCCACCAATGATGAACAGACGGCTATCGTACAGAACGGTGCCGTGATATCCACGGCCACTAGGCGGCAATCCATAGACGCGCCGACGATCCCACGTCATGGTAACGAGGTTAAGCAGCAGGACATCGTTGGAGTACTCGTTACCATCGTGTCCACCAACAATGAATAGATAGGAGCCTACGAGGGTGGCCGTATGTGATAGGCGGCGGTAGGTCTGCGGGATGGACACGGCTTTCCAGATATGGGCGTCGACGTCGTAGACCCACACGTCGTTGAAGCACTCGCCGCCATCGGAGCCGCCAAAGATGATCAGCTTGCTTCCCACCATGTTGGCGGTGTGGTAGCCGCGGGGCTTCGGGCGAGTCTCCCGGACGCCCGGGGGCGGGGCCCGCTCGGGCCCGGAGACAAGCTTCCATGACATCTTGTTCATATCGCTAACGTCGAGGCGCCAGACATCGTTGAGAGCGCGAACCCCATCACCGCCTCCAAAGATGTAGATGCCGTTCTTGTAGAGGCAGGCTGTGTGCGCGCGACGTTTGGAGGGGACACGGTCGCCTATAATCTTTGGCCGGTGCCACCTGAAATTTGTCGTGTCTAGAACGTATATATCATTGTAATAGGCGGGCCCATCGCCACCGCCAAAAATCACCAGCTTTTTGCCGACAGCTGTGCAGGTCATTGCGCGCAGTGGCACAGGGATCTCGCCGGTAACGTGCGGTACGGACCAGTAGAAGGCATCTGCATCAAAGACGTAGAGCTCGTTGAAACAGGCGCGTGAGTCGCAGCCTCCAAACACAAATATGTTGGATCCGACAAGCGTAGTCGTGTGAGCGCGAAGTGACGTATGGGGAGCCCCTGAGACGGGCGCTCGCGACCAGTACATGCCTGATGATGGGGCCGGAGGTACATCTGGCGCAGTCTTTGGGTCCTGGAGGGGCGGAAAGGGGATATGTTGACCTTTGGGAGCGGATCTTGAGGATACTGTCGTCGAGAGCTGGCGCGTTGAGGATGACGAGAGAGGGAGCGAAGAAGGCTTTGCGGCTATGGCAGATGTGGAGCGCATGGCGATAGGGCGGCGGCCGTCACGGTCGGAGCCGTGGCCACCGGTAGATTCGGAGCCATCGTTGCTGTTCAGCGTCGTGGCATCGCTGGCAGTATTGCTCGGCCGGAAGGACGGTGGCGGAGGCCTAGGGGTATTCGCGCTCGTGGGTGTCGTACGAGACTGTTGTGAGGCCTGGGCCTGGGACGCCGACTGGGAGCGCTGGCGAATGGAGAGTTCGGAAGGTTTGCGGCGACGGTCTTGACTCTTGGAGGCAAGGTGACCGGGCGTATGGGAACGCGAGATTATGGGTCCTCCCGGAGCGGAGGGAACACGGCGGTGCTGCTCGATGTCGCGGTCGCTGAAGTCCTCGAGATCGTCGGGAACGCCTGGTGGTGGGGGCCGGGAATCGTTGGGCGGAGAGATCTTCTGAGAGCGTACAACCTTGGACTTGAGGGGGGACCGGGGGTTCTTGTCCGAGGACCTGGCCGAATCAGCCATGGTTCGGCGGGGGAATAGTCATTGCCCCCCTCTCGCGAGGATGTGGATGATTGCCCGGGGGGTCGGTCTTTGGGACAAGGCGATTGCGGTTCGAGGGAGGGAGGTGGTGTGGGAAGAGAGGGCAGAGAGAAGGTAGTATATCGGGCCAATTGGCGAGGCAAGGTCGTCGGGAGAGCGGTGATTCGGGAGCAGGCTAACGGACGTGCGTCGAGGGGGCTTCGGGGCTTGAGTCGAGGGACAGATTTGTTTACTTGGGTTGCTGAGGGTTGTGTTGCAGTTGCTGTGTCGTTGGATGACTCGGGGCTTGTGTGGTCTGCTGTGAGGTATGGTACGTGTAGTTTGGTTACAGAACGCCAGGTAGCCGTAATAAGGCAGAGGAAAGAATTGGAGCCTAGCCGCAGAAAAGAGATCCACTTTCGTCTTGTTCGCAAGGTCGGGTCCCAAGGAAGGCTCTAGTGCTTGTAGTAGGCGCTGGTAGTGGTATCTGTGTTGCAGGAAGTAGGTCGGTACAGTTGCTGGCGCTGGCCCTGACAAGAAGGCAGAGGGGAGGGCGGGCGGACGTGGGCTGGCACTGGCAGGGGAAGGTGCGTCGCACGACCTCGGTGACGGGGCCTTGTTAGTGCGATCACTGCTAGGCCTCGGGTAGGTTAACAATAAGGTACAGACAGGCAGGTGTGCCCCCCATGTCAGCTACGGGATACTAGGTATGCTTTAAGCCTTGAGATGAGGTAATGAAAGGTACTTTGCTGGAGCAGCATCCATCGGCTCCGTCCCTTCCCTGGGCTGAGATTGGCGGGATCCGAGGGCTAGAAGGCCCAGAAGGGCTGGAAGGGCTAGCCTCTGGTCCCTGAGCAATTCCGCCCACGTATCACAACTCTCGTTAAGGCATCCCCCTCGCCAAAGCCAAGCACAGACCACTGTCGGCCCCTGCATTGGCCTGCTGTGCTCCTCGAGCCTGCCCGCTACCTGCCGCTGTCTTGCTGTCACGGTGTCACCTCAGGGCATGGTAAGGCAGTTCGCCCAGGGTGGGTGTGATTGGTCGCGTGAGGTCACAGGTGATCCTCTCCAGCTGGCAACTACCAATTACTTCACACATGTTCTAGATGCTCAGCGACATGTCCGATCATGTATGAAATTCCAAGTCATTGTGAACGTCTAATACTTCGAGACAGTGTCTCTCCTCGGATTCATTCTCACAAATTCGGGTGAGCTCTGGGCTTGGCTCTGCGCATGAAAGTAAACAGCATGTAATCATGGGGGAAAACAAGATCGCACACAGTCACACCCCGCAGTCAGGATCTTGGACATATTTCTTATAAGGATACAATGTGACATCAAAGTAATTTACGGACGCCGGGCGACCAAGATGTCTGCGGAGAAGCGAAAATATGATATGTTCAGTGAAATCGAACTCAAATTGAGAAATCACCAGATCACAGTGACCATTTTCCAAGGAAATATCATCACCCACAGGGTACATCTCAATCGTGAAGTGTCCCGTTATCCGACGTTACAAGTACTATATATATCTTCAAGTCCTGCCCAGCAAAGCTTGAAGGGAATATCCTAATTTCAAAACATGCCTCGCGGGATTGCACCACGACCCTACTCATGGCACTCACTGTCTTTGAGCACCATTTCGCAGCTAATGGGCTCATCATAGATGGTGGAGAGCATCAACTCATGTTGACAATGGATCCATTCATAGTTAGCTAGTTGAACTTACTGAAGAATGCACAATTTAACAATTACAGCCCAAGGTTGCTCGGTCTGATAGAACCGAAGAAGCGACTAATTTCGAAAGGGCCCCTAGGAAGCCATGGGATGTTCAGCTGCAGCTTCTCATCTACTGCCGGCCGGGTTTTGAACTCAGATTTGGACTAAGACCCAAAGTGAGACCTGATGTTTTCCATGTTTTCTCTTACCTTAGTTTAGCGAAAGCTCTGACATGTCTCGGTATTCACCAGGCTCTTTTCCCAATTCAGCTCTCGATATTTCGACTTCACGGCATAACCGAGCTAGCACCTAATTCTTCGTGCCGACGAGGAGAAGTTCTGCCCAAGTTTTGCCCGCCGCCATCACCCACTTGCTCGGGCTTTGAAGTGATAACAAATCGGGATTCCTATCGGGATATACCCATCTTTTGCCGAAATAGCATGCTTTGTATGAGTAAGTGAACCTTCACTTTAGCCGACAACAGCATTTCGGGAGTCTGGAGAGAGGTTGGCAGGCAAGCTGCGAGTGAGACTCCGCAACCAACTCCTTTGGCCGGCGGCGCGGGGCCGCGTCCATTATCCACAACGTCATCTCATAGTTGACGGGTTACACAACAAACCTTAACCATTTCGAAGCCTTTCCCAATCGGAACGGGCAGGCAAGTCGTGCCGCTCTCTTGGGTGTGAGCTTTGAGACTCCCACCAGGAGTCCGGGGGAACTAGGCAAAAAGTAAGATAAGAAGCGACTCTGCCTTATTGAGATTACAGTGACGCAATTCCCATCTGGGGGGTTTAATCAAGGAAGTTGCTACATTGTGCGTTTTTTTGGCGATTCAAGAGAGGGGTGTGAGTAGGCATGCTTGCGTGACCTGCTCACAACCGTCCAGAGACCGTCTCGACTCTTCATACGAAAACGGTGAGCATACGAGGTCAGGAGACCCGAGAAGAGCTGTGTTGCCAGCCGCTCGGATAGGACCCCTTGCCACCCAAGACAGTCCATTCCCGGGGGGTGCTGGGAACATCGGTTTCCTGGGATGGACTTGAAGCGAAAAGGCGATGAGGAGTTTGTGAGGGGTTTAGCGGAGTTTGGAGTCAGTCCGGCAAGGTAAAGCTGGAAATTTGGAGTTCCATTCCCCGTGGCTTTTGAGCTGCAATCCACATTCGTAGTCTTGTCCGATGCACGATACACGATTCAAGTCCCGGATCTTTTTCCTGCCTGCCACCCTGCCAAGACCGGGGGTTGAGGGAGAGCGAGAGAGGAAGTGCTGGCCTCCGGGCCATACACGTGTGCGAAGCGGCCTGCGTGTTGTTGAGGAGGAAATCCCCACGATATCCCAGCCCCGAAATCTGTTCGATGGGCATTTGGAGCCCCCGTTCCGATGTGATATCTGATTTGCGTCATTACCTCGCCAGCTCTGACGAGTATGACGAATCGAACGACGAGAACCGGCGGCCATGTTGCACTTCCGACGAACGATTCGGATCTCTTCCTGGAAGATTATCTCCTAATCCCCTTTTCACGACTCAAGATTCACAATCGCGTCAAGCTATTCCTGCGCAAGGCGTCCCACTGATATTCCTGTCTCACATACGAGAGGACGGACAATCGCAAGTTCAAGAAGATCAGATTAGGCAAGAGGAGACGGTACCCGAGCAGACAGCCAAGACCAAGATGTATCGAGTACATCGACGTGCCGCCATGCAAGATGTACCGTCTACTTCTGAGGCTATAAACGAGGCCCCCGAACGTGCCCAGGGGGTCTACCCTAGGCAGAACATCTTCCCAAGAGTCGATGAACTACAAAAGGATCGATCAACGTCATCTTTACCCACACCCTCCTCGAAACATTGGCACTACAGTACCATGCCAGGTGGGCGACACCTTCGGTTGCCGCTCTATAGGTACCCTCCCTAGCGCTTATCCTATCACTCCTATTATTCCTGTTGACCTTGTTCCTCTCCCTCTTGTCCCTATTCCTATTCCTGTTATCACTGTTCCTCTTCTTTTCTCAAATAACTCTCAAATGAATGTAAAAGATAAAGTAACAGTAGAAATAACAGGAATAAAAAGAATAAAAACAATGTGGACAAGAAGCAGGTAAGTAAGTAAGCATGGTAATCTTTATTGGCCATTATCCCATTTTGTCACTTGCATGCCCACCATCCCACTCCCGGTTCTCCGGGGGTTTAATGCCGGTGGGTAGCGTGGTGACAGATCACGGTAATGGGTGGCCGTGGTGTCCGTGGTTGGTGAGAAGGGAGGGGTTACTGGTTAGATTGAGATCCCCAACACCAGGGTAATGTCTGCCCGTGGACCTGGGTGCCTGCCATTCAGTCGAGCTACTTTTTAGACCGGTGCGGCAGGCAAGAAAGACGGACTAGTCCATGGAACTAGGTGCGTTAGACAAGATTTCAAAAAAGCCAGAGAATCCCAAGACTGCAACGCCAAACAAATGACCGCCCAGAAAACGCGAATTCATTAGGGGCTGAGACGAACTGGTCGGGTTTCTGACATGGGATGCGAGCCGTGCCATGACTCGCTCGAGGTCGTATCTCGGAAGACGTTCGGTCGGTAGACACGCCGATGTTCGGGGGTTGTGGCCGGCCGGTGCTGTGGGTCCTCTAGGCGCTAAGCCCGCTTGGGTGACGGGCTATTGGTGGGGGCCCGCAGGTTGAGAGCTTCTTCAATGAGTTTCTGTCAGGGATTTCCAACAACATCCGATATGGTGTAGTGGCCAACATGATGCCCTCTCATCTCAATGAGAGGTTAGGCATAGCCCCGAGTTCGATTCTCGGTTTCGGAACTTTTGCTTGTCGAAGGCATTCCAGCGCCCCTTTTTGACATATTCGTCTCCGGCCAGAGCAGACATTTGACGTAGTTTGATGAATACAACCAACAAATTCTTTCAACTGTGTTCGAGACTCAATCTCAAGATCCTCTTTTTGCCCCTGACATGAAACCACTATCACCAGCCTCTCAGTGACAGCTCCAACATCAACACCCTCACCACCAAGACATAGCACATGCGACCACACCCACTGGAGAACTCGGGATCCCGTCCGCTCTCCCATCGATAAACCAGTGAGGGCCGGAGTAGTAGTCGGGTCGGAGACGACCGGCGAATGCCCGGTGTTGCATGTATTTCTTTTACTCTTCCTTTTGTTTTGTAGCTTTTGTGTACGGTGGGGGATCTTATTGCGCAGTTCCGAGGGAAAGGGCGAGTTTCTTTCTTGGTGGTCGTGGGAGAGGGAAGTGGGGAGCTCGTCTCGTCGTCAAATGCTCGAATGTTCATCATCGTTGCGGCTCTATGTCAGGGAAAGCTGCGTCCGCTGCCGACTGCCTCGTAACACAAGACCGTGGATAATCTAGTTACTCCCGGGAAATGCGAGGAGGCTTGAAGATACTACGAACAAGTGTTCTCCGCCTCCGAAGATGACATTGGGCGGTTAGGTTCATGTCACCATTTAAGGAGTTCTTGGGAAACATTGATGGCTTGGTTGCTAGTATGGGCTATGACTGGGAAGCAGTATGAAAACATGAAAGAAACCTGACAGCCGTAACGCCAGTCTGAACGATAAATCCACGAGACATTTGCCAGCTCATTCCTACATAACAGCACGACTTCCCTCAAGATCATAAGCAGAAACGCTCCAGACACTCTCGAACCTCCAAGCCCAACTCCGACCACTTGCTCTTCCTCGTCACGCGTTCTCCTACCGAGGCATCGTACGGAACAAAATATCCGCCGGCTGCAATCTTGACACTTTCTGACGGGACCAGCTTCGACTGTCTCCGCGTTGTCTTCCCGCTGTTGGGAGGAAGGAACTTGCCTCTAAAATCCTCTGTCATGTTCGATAGACGTGCCCAGTATTGCTGAGAAGACTCATGTGGCTGCCGCTCCCATCGTCCTGATATGATCATCTCAGCTTTCTGGATCCCGCTCCAAGGTTGGTAATCAGTCGATGGGGATGTCGACGCGTGGCAAGATTGGTCGAGCTTCTTCTGGTCGGTGAACCGATCGACAAGCAACCAGCGAAGGACCCGCGGCGAGGTAGCTGCGAGCTTCACTGCAGACCGAAAGTTGTGGTTCCCTTGAAAGGAGATGCTTGCGCCATGGCGAACAAGATAGATGACGGATTCCAAAACCCCTGCGCTGGACGCTGCCATGAGCGCGGAGCCCTCTGGACAGCCTTCAAAGTCTATCAAACTTCCCAAAGACAAAATGTTTTCCAAGGCTTGTAATTGCCCTGTGGATGCAGCGAAGCAAAGAGGATTCCGGGGACCGACGACCTCAAGGTTCAGAAGCGTACGGAATTTTTCAGTTGATAGCTTTCGACGGTACAGCCGAAAGGCCGTTGTCAGGCATGCTGCGTTGACAGCATCCGGGTTTAAAGGCAAAGTCGACCACGGAATAGGCCTTTCGTCCTGAATCTGTACATCCCCATTCAGCAAGAAGGGTGTCACACAATTGTTGTGCATAGCCAGATGTAAGGCAGAGCAGCCAAGCTTGTCGACCTCCCACGGACTGACACCCATTCTAATTAGCTTGATGAAGAGTGCCGGCCTAGTGTTGTTTCTTTCACCAGCCTCTCTGTTGACGAAGAGATAGTGTACCACATTGCGCCCTCCATAGTCTCTGACAAAGATATCTGGGTCCCGTTCCATTAGAGCTGAAATAGCAAAAGAGTTCCCTCTGGCACATGCTTCGGCCATCGGTGTAGCGCCATTGTTGTCGCGACAATTGATGTTGCTGCCAGCCCGGAGTAGCATTCGAACAACAGCTGAATTGTCGAACGTAGCCGGTGCCATCGTGACGAGGAGGAGGGGGGTACGACCCCAATTGTCTTTGGCCTCGAGATCGGCGCCATTGTCGACTAAGAGCTGAATAGAGACCACTTTGTTCTTTATTGCTGCCCAATGCAAGGCTGCTATATTATCCCATTTTCTATTCACAACTGACGCCAACAATGCCGACGAGTCTGCACCAACTTGCTTGCTGCATCCATGTGAGTAATTGAACCTCGTTAACCTCGGGAATTAACTTACGCATGATGCTTCCTATTTGCTTTCAGATGACCCAAAAGTATCACCAACCCTTTTTCGTTGTTCGCCCTCACAGCCGTGGCTATCACACATCCTGATTCCCTTAAAACGCTACCACCGGTCGCAAAATATCTCTTGAGCATTGTTGGTAATCCTGGATTCAAAAGTGGTTGGGAAATCATCGATAGGATGATGGAACTGTCCTTTCCGCAGGGGTAATTTGCATTTGCACCCTGTTGTAGAAGCCAAGTTATTATGTTCAGTTTCCCAAAGCGTACGGCAACTCCAAGAGCTGTGAGGCTCCCAAATGGGGAAGGTATATCTATATCCACTGTCGGCAGTGACGCAAACATCTCCTGACAAGAAGAGAGGTTCCCAGCTTGGATAGCTCTAAAAACCCCTTTGGCAAGAGCTGCAGAACGTACACCGGCCGAGATCGCGCCGCACTGGCTCTTATCGTGGTCTCTAAGGCAGTCGATGATGCTTCGATCATTTCGTTGGTACGCCAATAGCAGCGGCGTCATTCCATTACAATCGGGTGTCATTTCACTGCCCAGTTCTAGAAGTCTTTCGACTGCCGCGAGATTGCCTTGAGCCACAGCAATATGCAGGGCTAATTGGCCATCAACTGACCTCGCGTTGATGTTTGCACCTCGAGCATGGAGGAGTTCAACCGCACTGACTTTCCTGCCCACCACTGCAAAGTGAACAGCAGTGTAACCGTTCTCTGCCGGCGCTTCTAGACTGATAGAGACTACCTTGTCAAGGATAGTCTGTAGGCAATCGACAGAGAAGATCGCTGCCTGGTGCAGCGGCCTTATGCCTTTATACCGTTGAGTGTTACTCTGACCTTCCCAGTCAATTTTCCAGATCGGGTCGCTGTGCTTGAGAATATCGGACAAGAAAGACACGTTATCACGTGCAATTGCCGCATGAATCGCTGTCCATCCAGATCGGCAAGGGATTGTGGGATCCGCTCCTTGATGGAGGAGGGTAGCTGCTAAGTCAAAATGTTTCTTAGACAAGTGGTATACCAATGCCGATGATCGTGGCCAGATACTAATCCGCAGATCTGGAGCAACACCACGCCCTAGAAGCATTTCAACTATCCCATGCCTAAACTGCGGCACATCCTTCTCATTAGAGAGATGAATCAATCCCAAGCCGGAAGTTGGGTTTGTATGGTTCAAACATACGGGATCTGCGTGATCAAGAAGCTGCCTTACCCTGAAATTGTCGTCTTCACGGGCCGCTGGTAACGCGCAAATATGTTCCATGGTGGACACCCCTTTGCAGCGTCGATGGACACCAATGCCTCGTGCTAACAACCAATCTACTGTCATGCTGTAGTTGAGAGTGGAAGATACTTTCAGAAGTTCAACGGCATAAAGTGACTCTTGGAAGCTGTTCCAGTGGGTTGTGGCCTTCAACAAGAAACACAGCGTGTCGTCTGTGAGAAGAAAGTGCTCGTCGCTGCTGGGGTCTACCAACCACTCATTCGAACAGGCTTCAGCGATCGGTAAAAGCGCAGAAGTCGAACGATCTTTCTCGTAAGCGTCGAATATTCCAACACGTACCAGGCATTTGACTGCTTCATTGATGTGCCCGAATGTAAGATATTTGCGCCCCAAAGTTCTTGAGGCGAAGTATTCCCACACCTTCGACGCATCAGAAGGATTCGATTGAGGAACAAGCGGTTGGATGAGATACTCCAGCACATCCACAGAGAACGACCTGAAGTATGAGACGGCTAACATGGTATCCACATAACATTCCCATGGCAACTTCGCATTGCTTCGACACAGCCTTGCGTTTGGAACTAGCGATTCCAATTTTTTGACCAAGGTCAACTCCGCATTGCCTTTCAAACAATGTAACGGAGTTTTCTGTTCATAGTCGGCGAGACGGACTTTTAGACCTATGCTTCGAAGTAGGTCTAAGATCCCCTCAGAGCCTGATTCAGCAACCAACAATAGTATCGGAGTCTGGCATTCCCAGGCCATCGGCTCGTTTTCACACCTCTTTAAGATTGTTTCGGCGAAGCCAATCAGTCCCTCTTTGATTGCAAGCGTCAATGGTGTATGTCCGTCTCTGTTGCGCTTGGACAGGCTACAGCCGACGCTCAACAGCAAGTCCAAGGTTTTCTCAGCCTGGACTAACCAACCAGGGTCTTCACTTGCCCATTCATCATTCCCTGACCGGACCAGTGTATGCAACAGCCCATCTTCCTGACCAGGGCTTAGAATGGATGAAACATCCACTCGTTGATCATCAACTACTCTCTGCAACTCAGTGATGTCGGAGCTCCAGCGAACCACATCAAATGCCCATGTCTTCAGGCTACGTGCATCATCAGTAACTTTGGAACTGATGTTGTAACCTTCGAGATCAGTGAGACTTGGGGTAGTCCGCAGGCAATATTCCCACGCCGACTGACAAAACTCAAGATGCAAGGGCGAAGTATCAATTCCATGGCTAAGCGCTTCGCAGAACTTGCACAGTGATGGCAGATGTTTCTCGCGCCAGTAAAATTCGTCATTATCCGTTGTCGTTTTCATGAATGTTTTGAAATAGTCTAGGTCGCTTTGTGTGGGAACAAGACCTTTGTCGACGAGTAGCTGAGCGACCGAAAGGTTGCGTATGCTGATTCCATCTCTCAGAGAAACACGTAAAAGATCCTCTGGTGCTTGGGGATTCATGCCCAGAAACAATCCCACGGTCTCGATAGTATAAAACAATTCCAGACTGTCCGTTCCTGTGTAGCGTTGAAACCACGCCAGTTTGTGGTTGTCTAAGTCATCGTCTAAGTAACAATAGTGCTCTAGAGCCCCGCAAACACAACTTACAGCACACTTTATTGGAGTTCCAAGCATGCATTTGGTTTCGTAATGATCCGAGGTCTGTAGTAGGAATGAACTGATCTCTGGTAGTGACATAGTCGCCGCGAAGTGCAGTGGTCGGAAACTGTCGTGAATGATTCCCGCTATCGAATCAATTACCATTATGTCGATTCTTTCCTGACTGAGCTCACCAAAAGCAGAATACGAGAGAGTTAAGACTAAACTCACTACCCATGACGTGAATTGCGTGGATTTCTGCGGATCGAAGAGACGCTTCGCCATGGATAGTAAATCAGGATGTGTCCATTCTGCTCTAGCAAAACACAACCAGTATTCCGCAGCATAACTGTAGAGACGATATTCATCGTCTCTTTGCTCCATGTAGTCGAGTTCCTCGCTTGTTGCCGTCGGTAGATGATTGAAGTTGTCGAGCAGAAGATATTCCAAGCATCGCACTGCTAGGAGTTTGTTGCAGTGAGATTTAGTAATGTAAAACATCCCTAAACCGGATGATTGTAAAACGTCACTTGTCAAAAACTCCTGGACCGAAAAATGAGCAAATTCAAAGTATTTCCCGTCGTTTGACTTTCGAATTAGACTACTGCAATATCTGGCTATTGCGTCTTCCCTTATGATGCCAGATGGGCTTAGATGCTGGCTAGTTGATGGTATTGAAAGAATTTCTCTCAATTGCTCAATGTCGAGTCTTGGCTCAGCGTAAGCGATGAAGTGCAGTGTCATCTGAACCTGTGATTGTTTTGCTGGAGAAACTCTCCTCAAGATGCGCATGTAAGTCTCTGGGAGGTCGGGTGGGAGACTGCGCAGGGCTTCTCGACATTGCTCGTCAGAATCGCAGCCTCCAAGGTGGTCCAGTTGACAGGCGACCCAGCGAAACCTAGCCAAATCCGAGTCAGCCAAATCTTAATGTTATACATTCCAAGATTAATCATGCTTACATTCCATGTGCCCCGGTCACGAGGCTCTCTAGAATCTCTGCTTTAAGAGAGAGATCTTCGAATACCAGCTTTCTGCTGCGAATACGTCGTTCAATCTCCGAAGTGAGAAACTCAGTGATGTCATCCGTATGAGCTGCAATCTCTATATTGACAAATTTCTTCTCGGAATCTCGGAGGTGTCGTTGGATGTCGTCCTCGTCGCGACTAAGCAGCGCCATCGATAATTCGTCGGAGTTTTCTGCAATATCGCAGAGCGCCTCCACAACCTCCTCTGCGTGATCTCCGCATTCATCCAGGCCATCAACCACTATGTAGGTATGTTCAAAGACTTGAAACATCCTCAAGATGGTTCGTCCTAGGTCTTCTGTGTTGGGAGAGCGAGGGAGTCCCTTATCTGGATGGAGCTCGAAGTAATACTCTTCGAGCATCGAATACGCTTTCTCGCTCTGTATCGCCAATTGATACGCCAAGCCCCCAAGAATATTGACAGGGCTCTGCGTCGTCTCGTTCTTGTAGTCGCAGAAGAAAAAGCCTACAGCAACGGTATCTGAGCTTCTCGCAAGAGCATGGCCAATGATTGAGCCTGCGAGTACCGTTTTTCCGGCGCCGGGAATGCCGCTCAACCAGAGTCGGGACCCTTGGGTGCGAAGCCATTGCTGGAAAGACGAATGACGTTCAAGCCACATGCCAGTCCTCGGGTGTCGTAGCTTTACACTCATCTCGTAATTTGATTGCGGATTGTATCTCAGGAAGAAGTCTAGGATTCGCCGTCTCCGGGTATCCTCTTGAATCCGTACTGCAATCTCTTTGGTTTTTTGAACATCGGCTAGTATTGCAGTCGCGGTTCGTTCTCTTTCTTCCTCTTTAGCGAGACAACGCAGTAATGCCTCCAATGAAGTAGCTGATAACGCAAGATTCATGTTTTCCTTGTGTCGCGATAGGTCTGCGAGCATTTCCTTGGTCTTCGAAGAAGTGTAAGGCCAAAAGAGTTTCTTGAGTCCTCCTCCTGGTTTGTCTTCGTACTTCTTCGTCTTGTTGACAATCTCGGATAGGATCGCTGCACAACCGTCGACGTGGTGCATTCGGAAGCCCTGAATGGGAGACTCGTCCTCCGCCTCCAGGGAGATTGCCAATCGCGACAACATGTTGACAGTGCCCCCAACCAAATTCACTTCTTTGCATAGATCGCTGATCTCTTTCTCGGCATTCTTGACTGACTTGATATACTTGGACAAGCGCAGAAAGACGATGTCCGCAAGAGAGAGGAGCCCCGCAATGCTTGCGGCGATGCTCAAGGGGTCGGCCATAGCAGAACAGCCAAATGATTGAAACGGTTGTCTGAAAACTGCTTGTGATCCTCAAGCCGACGTTGGGCACGTTGTCGAGTACGGGTTCACGAGCAGAAATACGACTCTCGACGGACGATGGGAATAATGAAAAGGTCCTGCTCGGTTGCGTTTTTTCTCTACAGACACCCATGGAAAGATATTGGGGGAGGGGGTCCTCGTACTTACAAGTGCCACGGAACGCAAGACCGCCCTCGTATCACTCGACATGTCGAGGCGTCTGGCCCGCCATCATGCGGGCAGGCTGTGTGTTGGTTGCTGTAGGCTGTCACACAGTATTGATAGTCATTGACAGATTTTTCGACTTCCCTACATTAGAAAACAGCCATGAAGTGTTGCTACTACGTGGCTGCATCTTCGTTGCGGCAGGCTCTACAACGCAAGGCGGTTTTGGAAGACAACCCATCCAATGAGACATCCAGCGCTGAGTGATCGTAACCCCGCCGCAACCTTAGCACATGCAGTGGCGACAGGTCTGGGCAAATCTGCCCCTCGCTGGGGGACGCTGGCCACGCATCCGCAGCCCATCATATGAGCGAGGCAGACTTGTCGTGGGAAGCGTTGCGAAAGTGCATATCCGACTAAGAAATCTGGTTGGTTGATAGAGTAAGACATTCTGAACGTAAGATCCGCGATGTTTGCATAAGTTTTCTATTTTTCCACATAGCGACTGATATCGAGGTCTTCCCTGCCATGAGACGCAGGGAAGTGGCAGCGCAACGTATGGCGTGTTGTTGATTGGCCTAAATGATGATAAGATACCCGGCCACTGCATGCTCCCTAAATGTTCACGATGTTGATGTACAGCCAGAACGGACTCTCGAGGAGAGAGCTTGGTTGTATGAAGAACATCCACCCGTTATTGTCAGGGTTCAACGTGGCAGCAGGGTACCCGAAGCTCAATGGACGTCTCGCCGACGACTGGTCTACTTGAAGATGCCGTAAAGCTTATATTCGGATCTAATCATGGTCATCAAGCGATCAGTACACATGGACTTGGACTCTTCTATTGAAAGCACCTACTTTTCCTCGGAGTGAAGGGAACGCCAGATAGTGCCATTTCATCAGTCAGAGTGGGGACGAGGTGTCTTTCTGAGGCCTTTAGTTAGAGACGTCATGGCGGAGTCTTACAGCAGTTATGGCTCCTTTCCCGGGGTTGGTGATTTTCTGCAAAAGCGTGGCCGACAGGATCAAGGCTACCGTGAAATGGAGGCGGCACCTGGATAATACATGTAGATTCGTTGTCTCAGACGCCAATTTGACAATCTAAACCATTATACTGCCAACTCTCTTTTCCCAACCCTTTTTCTTTACCGAAGTCGCTTCCCATATGCACCCAGGAATCGACCCAAACGCCATGCAAAACCCCACGCTCCATTTCTCAACAAAAATGCTCAAACCATATCATAGCTCTCTGGAAACAGAATCGCATTCGCCATCCCAACCAGCGCCTTCTCCGTCGGACTCCTGCTCTCCTGATCCTCCCAAGGCAGCAAACCCATAGCCCTCAACCCGTCCTCCCCACCCGCGTCGCTAACCTCCTGCGTGCCAGGCCGGCCCGTGTGCGTCGTCTCCCCCTTGCCGCCCCCAAAGTCCGGGCTCGGCTGGCCGAGGAGAAACGCTTTCCGCTGGCGGGCGAGGTACAGCGCGTTGGTCTGCGTCAGGGGGCAGGCCGGGATGTACATGATGGTCGCGGGCGCGGACGACGTCGGCACCCTGTCGACGCCGTATACCATGTCCGGGTGCCACACGACGTAGTCGCCCGGCCGCACGGGCGGGATGCGCACGAGGGATTTGTCTAGCTGGAGATGGGGGTGGAGCGCCGAGTTAAGCTCTTGTGTGTAGGAAGGGACGGCGCCCTGGATGATGCTCGTCTGGGCAAAGTCCAACGCCCAATTCTCGCGTGCGAGGAAGTTGGGAGACGTCGGAGAGGGGTTGCGCGGTGAGAAGAAGGGGCGTAGGAGGAAGTAGGCGGTAGCGAGTTGGAGCATGGGGCAAAGCAGGAGTGTGCCGTCGGCCGGGTCGATGTCGGACATGGAAAGCCAGCCTTGGAACATGCGGAACATACTACATGAGCCCGCGCCGTTGTAGAGGTCTGAAGTTACTCTGAGCCGCGTGCTGCTGTCCCAGGGGTCATAGTCCTCCCATTTGCCATCCCATATGCGCTGGTACGTCCCGGCGTTCCCGTACCCATCACTCTCCCACCGCTCGACACTGCCGCCGTCCACATGAGCATTCAAATGCCAGGCTTCGTCGCCTGGAGTTCGAATCCGAAGACGATCAGCGTATGCCACCGGTAGATCGGCTACTACAGGAGCGCTGGGGTCCCGAGAGCGCCAAAGCCGCATTAGAAATCGCTGAGCGGCCAAGACGTTGGGATGGGCTCGGCCCTTGATCTGTGACGGGGACCAGTAGATGCCGAACAAGTGTGGGTCGCGCGTCGGCCAGCCCTTGGTTTGCGGATTCTCCGACAGATACGTCTCCGTCTCTTCGCGCCAAGCATGAGCCTCGGAGGCCGGTACGACGTTGCGGATGATGGCACCACCTCGGCGCCGGAGCTTGGCGGTGAACTCGGACACGCGGGCATGATTTTGGAGCTCCGAGAAGTCGATGGTCGGGATAATGTCTGATTTTCTGACGCCAATGACGGCGATCTCGGCTCGAAGAGCTACTAATAAGCGTTCCCATGATTGCACTATGGCGTGCTCCTTGCCGGCGACCAGGCTCCGTTTAATCTGAGCGAACCTCGGTGGCAGCGGGATGGGTCCGCCATTCTCGGTGAAGATTTCGTCGGCACGCATAAATCCTCGTGGGTGATTGTCCAGAGCTATGGGAAAAGACTGTGACCAAAGCAGACTGGGGGTATCAAAAGGTGAGAGGAACTGAGAAAGTAGGTCGTCTGAGATGGATGAGAAATCCAGGTCCGGCAGTGGCGACGTGTCATCGCCTTGCCCATATTCATTTTGGAACATGTCGTCCTCCATGTTGCAGCGTGAATAGCTGCAACGTACCGGGTGGTACTTGCAGAAGCTCCGTGTTGTATTTGTTCGTGAAATGGACGAGTTGGAGCATGTTCCTAGAGCGATGGCATCGGGCCCCGCCGCCGACAAGGTTCCGGGGTCAGGATCACGCGGGGCCGGGAAAAGGTCGGGTCGCCGCGGCTCAACGGTGGGGGATACTCCTAGTCGCTGACAACGCTACAGCCGGGCCGCTGTGCCGCCACAAACCTCAATAAACCTCGTTCCTGGATACAAGACCAATGGGAGAGTTGAGTGACAAGTGAAAAGTAGCCGCATGGTAAGGGTCTAGTTCCCATTTTCCAGACCAGTCTCCGACTCTCCATTCAGCCCAGTCCCGGGACACATGATGCAACGTTTACCACACCTTCAGGCTGTGGACGCATGCATTGAGTGCCAACCTCAAGCAGATCCATCGACGCGGATTGGACCATATCATCCGCGTTGTCGTTCCCATCTGCCGTGTTTCGGACGGGTCCGATGTTCACCATCCGAACGCTGACCACATTAAGCTTATTACACAGCCTTCCCGCGTTTCGATCTTCTGACTGGCATCTTGTCCTCGACTACATCTTCGGGGCTCTTCTTTCTTTTTTCCGGTGCTGCCGGCTTTGTCTGCGGAGCGGCCGTCTTTGCAGCCTTTGAAAGGCTGCGTTTGAGCGCCAGCTTGGGGTCAACTCCTTCCTGGTGGAAAATGACGTAGGCTACTTTCTCCACGTCTAGAGCAGACACGTTGAGTCTTTTGGTGAGCTTTTCTACTTGGATGTTGAGAGACTCGTACTCCTTCATGTTGTACTTGAGTGATGTTTTTTGGTTATTGTTGCACATCCAGTAGTATCCCTCGTCGGAGAAGAACATGACTTTCTCAGAAAAGTGTACCGCGAGAAGAAGCGAAGCTGTCGCGGGACCGATGCCCTTCAACTTGGTCAGGATGCCCAAAGCCGCTGAAAGGTCCGATGTACTTTGATAACTCGCAATGGCGTTCTGGATAGTCTTCGCAACAGTCGAAGACTCGTTGGATGACACGAATTTCATGAGCGTTGGACGGAATGTCCCATGACGGCTGGAGCAAATAAATCAGATCACTCGATTCTTCCAACCATTACAGCAATTGGGGCGCACATGACTCAACACATGCACACACTTATACGAAAATAATAGAAAACGGGGACCTGCAGCGACAGCCCCGTCTGAAGCTCCGCATACACATGTTGTCGCGGAACGCGTGATCAAGAAAGGCTTGCACTTACAGCTTCCATTCCACTAGGAGTTTGACGTCGTCATGGTCCATCACACGCTTCGGCTCATACTCAGAAAACTGTGCCGGGGCCTCAACAAATCGGAAATGGTCCAACTCTTTCAGGGTCTTTTGGCCAGGCTTGGCTGTGTAGAGAAGTCAGGAATCTGCTGGCAAGCTCAATGATTCTGCGGGGAAGAGCCGCGATCCAGGGCCGACATACCGCCTTTGGTGGATGAAATGGACTCGAGGAGAGGTTCGTATTCCGAAAGCAAATTCTTGAACTCCTTAGCAGATAGCTTGTCCGGTGACATAACTTTGGGAGTCCAGGTCGCCATGAAGCGCGACGTTCCTTAAACACGTCTGGGATCGTGAGGAACTGGGTTCTCGGAGCTAGAAGACGTTTGGAGAAGTACGGCAAGGGTGTGAGTAGGGTGTAAATGAAGCTCCCCAGAACAAAGCTCAACGCGCTCCTGAAAGCAGCAAGGGAGTGGATCAAATCGCGAGGATAGTAACTTCTTTTGACGTAAGGTGAACCAGAGCCCACACTGAGTGTGGTGCCAAAGTGCTCCGTATCAAAGATGATTAGGTAAGGCCTGGGTACAATCCCACTCGTCTGAGGCTCGTCGTTGAGGTAGGAGGTAGGGTCAGAAAGCCACAGAGGAGCTGGGTGGAAGCTGTAACTCTATTTGGAAAAATGGGTCCTTTGAAACGAAACGAACGACAAATGGAATTCGGATAATGCCAGTTATTCGGGCATGTGAAAGGATGGAAGACCAGACTGGATGAAACGGCTTCTGTAGCGATATTCCCGGAACGCTACAAACAATTTCCGGCCCGAACTCTTTCCTCAGCAAAAACGACCCCCTCATAGTGTGCCGTCGGTGAAGACCCCAGGTGGAGAGTGCGACTGGTACGCTACTGGCCCGGAAGGACCGTGCCCAAAGACAGTCTGGAATGCCGATCCATGCAGAAGCGCTACGGGGTCGTCCGAGGGGCAGCAGAAAAAAAAAAGGCCAGTCGGTCTGCGCCCGCCTGAGCCTCTTTTCCTTCCTCACTTCCCGAACTCTCACGAACTCTTCACGACCGCTATTGACTCCCTACACTCGACTTCGCTCTACCGACAGTACCTCTACATCCCACAAATATTATCAAAATGGGTAACGTATGTACACCCAGCGAACCCTTTCCCCTCACCCCACCGCTGATCAGGGTCCGGTGGAAACCATGAAAATGAGGGGCAGATTTGATGCTGACATTCTGGGGAATCAGGGCGCAAAGGCTCAGCAGAAGCGTGATCGCAACGCCAAGGACGCGAAGCCCAAGGGCTCTCAGCTCAAGGTGGTACGTATTATCCATTCGCAATCAATGTTCGATTTAGGTCTCGGTGACTGACATTTTTTGCGACCAGAACGCCGCCGCCAAGGACATCCAGTGCCAGATCTGCAAGTCTACCTTCCTGAAGACCACCAAGGCCCCCGCGTAAGTCGCAACCTCCTAAGTCTTCTATATGATTCTAGCGCTTGGCGATTCAATGTACTGATGTCGTCTTCTTGCAACAGTCTCACCGAGCACGCCGAGAACAAGCACAGCAAGGGCCTCGCCGACTGCTTCCCCGCCTTCGTTTCCGCATAGTTTTGAAAAAGAGAAGAGACACCGGGAGTGAGAGGAGTCATAAGAAGAATGGAGTTGTGAGGAGTTTTTAGGGACGAGCATGGCGGCACGGCGTGATGTTGAAGAAATGATGGGCGGGGTCGGTCAAGATCTGGCCTGGGGCATGCAGCGAAAAGGCGTAATTTGAAATCTTGCCCTCTACTTTCGGGAAATCAAAGAAAAAAAATACGATTAAACGAGTACAAACATACGCTTTCACAATGTGGGACGCTCGTTGTGTTTGAGCTTATTTGCTTCCATGACTTGTGTGAAATTGCTGACTTCATAGTGCGAGCTGGATTCTCGGCGGGCACAACCGACGAGTTCATCCAGATATGGGTCTAGTTACTAATACCGTGAGGAGAGGACTCTCATGAAGCTGAGACATCGCCCTATCCACAAGCCATCAGTGCGCTGGGACAGGAACCGATGAAACCTCCGGAACACCCTTCACATCCTTCACATCCTTCTCCCCGCCACCACCACCAGCAGTAGCAGCAGCTCTAGCCTGCTCCTCACGAATAGCAGCCAAAATATCCGGATACCACCTCTCTCCCACGTCCGGATGACTCTTGACCCGATTCCTCAACGTCGCCTCCCCAAGCGTCTTGGCCACCCCGCCCTTCCGGAACGTAAACTCGACATCATCAAGCCTCGTCCCGCCGTTCTTCTCCAGCACAAGTCGCCTCTGCTCCCGGATATCCTCCGGCACCCGCCCGACCCCGACGGTCTCGAGGTCCTCAAAATCAGCGTCCCCTCTCACTCCCTGGAAAAACGGGATCGAGAACCGCGCGCCCTCGCCGGCAGGCGGGCTGAGCACGCGGTGCGTCGTCGACACGCAGACGCCCCGCGTCAACGCCTCTAATCCCTGCCCGATGGCCACAACCAGCGTCCCCTCGACGGGCGGCGCGTCGATCCATTCCCCGCGGACGTTCTGCACCTGCAGCCCGCGGTGGTGGCTCGCTTGCAAGAGGTAGCTGCTCAGCATACTATCCTTGTGCGGACCGACTCCCTGCCCCTGGATCTTGGGATCCGTGATGCCGAGTTCTTGGAGGTCTGGGTATTTGACGATTTTGAGCTTGTGCTGCTGGTTGGCGTCAAAGTACTTGTTGAAGGCGTCAGCGGGCAGCTTAATGGCCTCGGCGATGAGGGAGGTGAAGGCGATGGAGATTTGGCCCATGCGGTCCATGTACTCTGAGAACGTGGCGCGGAAGCCCGGGAGGGCGGATTCAGAGGGCCACTGGTTTGGGGCGAGGAGGTTGTAGTAGAGCGGGTCGTTTGGTCCCGGCAGCGGGTGTTCTGTCGAGAGGTCGATTTGTTCGCGGTGGTCTATCTTGCCTGCTGTGATTTCTGCCGAGAGCTGGGAGTAGCCGAGGAAGGATTTGGCGTTCTTCATCTCGATCTTTAGTCTAATCAAGAATGTCAGCACATTTATAAACCGGTCTACAATCTGGAGCATCATTGTCTGAATCAAAAGAGTTCACTGTACTTTTCCTCGGTGGGTATATCGAAGAAGCCCTTGCCTTCCTTAATCACCCTCTTGAATAGCTCGTCGGGGATACCGACGTTTTTGAGGTACAAAAACCCGACTTCCATGAGTGCATGGCGCAGATCAATAAGAAACTGCGGTTTCGTCTCGGGATCTTGCGCCAAGGCGAGGTCGAGGATTGGAATGGATGTGAAAGACATGGCTGTGTGTCTCACTGCTGCTGTCTCATACTCTACAGGAATTCAAAAACGGTCGAGAGATCAGAAGACAAAAGGCAGGCCTAGGCTGAACTAGGAAGAACTTAGGGAAGGCAATTTAAATAGGTAGATCGTCTATTGAATTGATTCCTGTGTAGAAGATATCAGTGGTATGATTCGGATCACATAAATGCGAAGTCGCAGCATTTGGCACGCCGCTGTTCAGGTAAGCCGTCGTTTGAGCAATTGGGCAACGGGATGGCGTAATGCGGGCGGCGGGGCACTTTGCCGATCGGCTTGCCCCGCAGTTCGGCGCGGCGGGGTCACCGAATAACCGGCGCATTTTCACATTCCATCTGACCGCCCAACCCTCACCAGCGCCAATAACGCGAAAACGCGAAAGCGGTAAAACATCAGCCTCTACTGGCAGATACGGGGTCACGACACTGAAGGATACCATAAGTAGCTTATACTTCTTCATGTTTGTATTCATTCGCGATACTAAGACCAAATGACCCCCAATATCTACCAATCCAAAATCACTTCAACACTAAAAAAGAGTTCACCACCGGTGTGGCTACATCTCTTGGTGCTCATGCTGGGATTCGAACTCGGGTACTCGCTAAGCCTGTCGTCGAGTAAGGCTGGTTGGCGTTAGAAATTTTGATCGTTGACCATAGACCACTCCACCAGCCAGCCAGTTTGACCTGACCCGTCGACCTAGACGGGCGCCTGCTGGCTGGTGACAGGAATGGGATTGAGGGGGTCTATATACCCTTCTGGTGACATGTATGGGAAGGGGAAGGTGCGATGAGCCAGGCGGTCCGGTCGTACGTGCCTGCCCTGCCTTACAGTCTATAAAGGTGTACAGACACAACGCATCCGTGATGAGGAGCACGCCAGTAGTGCGCGAAGAGCCTTGAACTAAAGGGAGTTGCCTAGTACTCGGGCCAAGTCAATCGAACATTTCCACAAGAAACCCTTGAAGATCCAAATGCTTTTACTACATTCTTCTATTATCGGGTATAATGCACATATTTTGACAACTTTTGTTTAGCCGTTTCATGATCCCAGAGGCTTCGTCGCCAATAAACCCGTAACCTTGTAGAACATGTCCTCAACCGAGGGCATGGCAAAAGCCGGCGCCGCATCAAACAGCTCGGCAAGTTTCTGCCTGTTGATGACGGCCGGTTGGGCGTCGTCATCATCCAAATCCATCTCTTCCCCGTTCGCAGCCTCCGTCTCCTGCTCATTGTCGCTGGCCATCTCTTCGTCCTCGATGGCGTCGTCGAAAATCACGTCTGCGGCAACCGGCTCACCGTCCAGCTGCATGTCCTCCAATGGCCTTGAGAGGGCGACGGCTGCAGGGTCCGAGGCCTCGGCGACTGACCAGAGTTGCGCCGCGTCGTCGACCGCGACGAAGCCTGATGAGCTTCCGGTGGAGACGAGACTGGTGATACGGTGGGGGATGCGCCTCACGCACAGCAGCGCAGGCTCTTCCGGCTTGAAGACTGCGAGCTGCGAAGCTTGGCCGCCAGGTACGACGACGGCGAACGTCCGTGATTTGCGGTCAACAGCCAAGTGGCTGAACTCCTTGACTGCTGTGGCGTTGCGGCCACTCGGCAGCTGGAGGCCGTACTGCAGCTCATCGGCGACCACATCAAACACTCTCAGGTCGTCCGAGAGGGTGATGATGTATGGGGAGAGAACCTGGAGGCGGCGAATGTGGCCCTTCCACATGTTTTCCAGTGTCGACCTAATCTCACCAGTCTTGGTGTCGATTACATAGATGCCGCCGTCGTTTGAGTGGCCAAAGGCAACAAAAAGCGTCGAGCCGTCCTCAGAGAAGCATAGGCTGCCGCTACGCTCTCCCGTCGTCTCTCCAGTGGTGGTAAGCGCATCAGCTCCCACGTTGCCTCCCAGACCCACGGCCACAGTGCATGACCACGAGTGCAAGACCTCGCCGGCGTTGTCC